AACTTGTCAGGCTATGCACAACCCTGTTATCAGAATACTGCTTTTTTTAGGAGGGGGGGGGGGTAACTTGTGATTATGTAATCTGGTTTTTATTTCATTACAAATTGTGGTTAAGCTGTAATATATTAACTGTATTTAAGACAGACTAGTGTGCTTTGTTGGATGTTTCCCCGGATACCTTTAACTTTTTGCTGTGATCACAATACTTAATTAAATATCGAAACAACAAGAGCAACAAAATATAATAAAAAAAACTAATTTATTCATTAACCCTAATTTCTTCGCCTGAGGGCGCACTCCAGGTTCTGAGTTCTGAAAAGTCAACTCGACCTTTAAACATGTAATTACTTCAGACAGCTATTCAGTTTAGATAGGTGTTAATGTATTGTATCTTCCAATGTATATTTTAGTGGATGAAGCGGTGCTGGTAAGCCATGAAGCACTTTTCTATAATATGGGACAGTGCTGTTGTGCTGGTTCTCGTACGTTTGTCCAAGAAGAGATCTATGATGAGTTTGTGAAGAAAAGCACAGAAAGGGCCCAGAATCGGACGGTTGGTAACCCACTAGATACTAACATAGAGTCAGGTCCCCAGGTAAATCAGCACTGTCAGTTTTTATACTTTATACCTTTATTTTCTACTACTTATCATATCACTCTGAGTATGTTAATGGAAATTAACAGCCACTTTTTGGGCAAAGTTCTGGTAAAATCCATCGTGCGAAGTTCTTTTACTTTGGCTCCAAAAGTGGCCATTACTTCCCATTAAAGTACAAGGTGGCGTGTTTTTAAACTTTCTGGTTACTTGTAAATATGGATTATTTATAACAGTAAATGTGTGCAAAAGATTTTAAATGAAAACTACACTATTGAATCAGACCTTGGAACAATCTGGTTGAGGCAAATATGTAATTGCTAATGTGTTATAAATTGTGAGTCAAAATTATATAATAAAAAATTCTATTATAAAAAATATATATTTCTGTTATCAGATTAATGAGGAGCAATTTGACAAGGTATTGGATCTCATTGAGAGTGGAAAGAAGGAAGGAGCTAAGTTACAATGTGGAGGCAGTCGCCATGGTGATAAAGGACTCTTCATTCAACCAACTGTGTTCTCTGATGTTGAAGATAATATGAGAATTGCCAAGGAGGAGGTTAGAATTGTCACAGAGATATGGTTCTAGAAAAAGACGTGCTATTTTCAGTTTTTGTTCAGATTTTGTACATGCATTGTACATGTTAGGATACATATCCTTGACAATTCGTTTTGTGTTCCGATCAAAGATGGCCAACTGGAGGTCGTCTTGCTTTTGGCCATACTACTACCGGGTATATCCCAAGACCTTTGGACCATTTTCATTAATATTCAAGTTGGCACGTACATCATACATGTTGGAATACACTTCCATGTTAGTCTGTTTCATAATCAGACCAAAGATGGCAGACTGGTAGCCATTTGGGTTTTTGTATTATTCATCATATTTTTGTCACATGTATCATAATACACATCGTTTTTTATTTGTGGGCATATCTTCCAAAGGTCAAAGGTTGTATTAAATGTTCATATTCAAAAATTCAAAATAAAAAAAATTAAGAAATGTAAAAACAATATGCATATATCATTTAGGATAACCTAAATGTGGTTGCAAATGAATATTATGACTATGGATGTGACTAAACTTTAACTGACACTCTGAGTTGGATATTCTTAAACATACATTGTATGTGAT